GGTGTTTCATTTGTCTTAAAAAGTAGTTTGATACAGATTTAGAAGTAAGCCTTGCAGCTGCAAAGTGCTTAAGGTTACTTACCTAATTTTGCTCATAAAGAACAAGAAATTGAGACTAAATCTGTTAACTGTAAGTAAAGAACAAGAAACGTTAAAATCAGAGATGGCAGTACTAAAGCCTCAGTGAGAGAAAAAATAATATGGTAGCAATGAACTTCAAAGTCTTGAAAACAATTGCAGTGTAAAGAATCTTTAGCTTCCAGGTTGTAAGATAGGAAGATTCATAGCCAGCTGGGAACAACTCAGTCCTCTGGATGTTAGTTTAAGCCCTAATTCAATAATACATTTGCACAAGGTATACTTATGCAAGGAATCCTACTGACTCATTTTTTGAGCCAGGGAATTAGCTTCAAAATTTGACACACCTTTGCAAATATAAAATGAGTTTGAAATCTTTGGCATGGTTTTTTCTCTTTTTGTGGGGGCGGGACTCAATATTTGAATAGCAGAAATCTGAATCATCAAGGATGAGAGTTGAAGTTGTTTGAAATTTTCTCTTAGATGGAATCAAGTTTATTTTCCATAATTATAACAGAGTTAAAAGGTTCTCATGATACATTTGAAAATCTTTATCATCCCAAGAACAGAAGGCTGATGAAGCAATTTTGGCTGACCTGTCCAGTGAGGTCATTAAGAAGTCTTATCTTCTAGAATTTTAATTGGCTTTCTTAGGAACTTTGTAATTGGATATTGAATAACATTAGCATTTTTAACTGCTGCTGGTTTTGAGGAGGGCTGCCTTTTGTTTGCCTGTTTAAATATCCCTCTGGAACCTGAGTTACAACATTTGAATTATAATTGTGGCTGGCAATAATGAGATTTCTTAATTTCATCACTATGTCAGAGAGTTCTGGAACAGCAGTGGGCAGGGGGATTGATGGGAGACGATGCTGAAGAGGCAACATAGTTCATCAGAGGTGTTATTTCAGCCTTCTTATCCACCTAGGCCCTTAAATTCATTGAGGCCAGTATTAATATTCTTACTGTTTTAGGAAACCATTTGATTTTGCCATGGTTGGTCCAATACAAACTATTATCTACCACATCTTGCTTCCAGTATAATCCCAGAAACATCACAGCTTCAACAATATTACTGTATCAGTTCTGGGCATTCAAACAATGAGATTAGTGCTTCTTCTAGAAGGAACAGAAGTTAATGACTTGTCTATCTATGTGTATTCCTTTTGCTCCCATTTTGATTACTTTGAAAATATTACCTTTAGGGAAGTTCCCAATTGATGCTGAGAAGTGTATAGTTTTGGCTTCTACAACTAGATGCTCTAATTCTACATTCAGAATGAACTATTTTTGCAATGGCACTATGGTACTATATGGGGTGAGTGGACAAAGTGGGATAAAACCCATTTTTATGATTTTCTGAGACCTCCTCCTTCCCCCAAAGGCTGAGGTCAGGCATATAGAAAGAAACATGATATTTGTTTAAGGGTTAAAAGGATAGGCCACTGATTAGTGCATGTGCTTGGAACATAAGGGTCAAGGATTCAAGTATTTGCTCTTCCTGTGGAAGTCAGGGGGTGTTATTTAGAGCCAGATCCACATAGGTATTTAGGCACCTACCTTCTAGTTAGGTGACTATCTTCCACTGAGATGAAAAGAAATTAAGAACCTAAATGCCTTTGTGAATCTGGGCCATAGTTTTTCTGGCTTAAATTCCATTGATTTCAATGGGTCAATAGATCTAACCTTTTGTACCCTAGTTGCCTGTCGTGGATAATAACGCATATATACCCTTACAGGAGGTATAAGAATAAATGAATTAAAGAGTGTAACAGAAATACAATTGTGATAGAATCTATGAAAGTGGCTTAGGAAATGAGTAGCTCTTAATCAATGCACAGTAATGAGAAATAGCATGAAGATTGAGATAAAGGGAAATAAGCGGATTTAATGATATTAACAAAAGTATGTTAGAGTTCACTTTTCTTTCTTTACAAACCTGGTGGTGGTTGGGACTTCTACGGTAGGCCCAATGATTGACAGCTCTGTTGAGGAGGAAAATCTGCATGGTAGAAGAAATGCTGCCGCCTTACTCTTCCCATCCACTTTCATCTCACCACCTTGTTTAGAACTTCTGAGATGCATATGGTGCCTGAGGATTCAGACATGAGACCATAAGACTACAGCAATGAGTGGAAATAATATTTATCTTTCTTCCCCCCTTGTCTTAGGATGATTTTCCTACTTTAACCTCTTTTTAAAGCTGGTTAGGTTGTTCTTTTTTGGTGTTTTTTAGCAAATAAATCAATCTTGTGCTCCTTTCCCTGCACTTGGCTGTTAATCAGGGCTAATGGACTTATCTCTGTTTGGTGTATTGTTTTATGACTCCATGAGACCAGCTAGTGCTTCTGATACCAATGCTAAACCGATTTGGAACAAGAGAAGCTCCTCTTTTTCTGTCATTCAGTTTAAGGTGGCTGTGAGCAGAAGGGTTAGATACGTCGTCGAAAAAGGTAACATCTAAATCCACCTTAGAATTACCTGAGTAGAAAAAGAGCATTGTGTAGTAGAGATACAAAAGCTAGCACATGGAAGGGTAGAGAAGATGGTCTATTAACCCATACACCCTTCACTAGAGAACCAGCAGAAATCCCTGGCCTGGGACACACTCAGTGAAGAGCTGATGTGATAATGTAATTGATTATCTTGCATAACATTTTGTTGTAGTAGTCTTAGTATCTTGGTAAATAAGAAAAAGGCACCAGGAGAACTCAAGTTTGGAATATGAAGGAGGAAGGGGTCAAAGATATTTTCAAAAGCCACCCACACAAGAGTGTAAAGACTCTTCCTCTTCATAAAATTAAAAGTGGCCAGTACACCTCTTGATGTGTGCTAACTCCCAGCATCTTTGATGGGAGTTTTGATGTACAGATATCAAAGGGAGACTGTGGCCCTGAAACACATGAACTTATTTTAGCTTTCAAACAAGAATTTTATATATCAGTGATAGATGGTAATGATCGGTT